CCCCTGAATTTAAAGCTGGATCCGCCCCTGAGATCCATTGGGGTAGTATATTATTAAATAGAAATTTTCTTAGTTATCAGTTGTCCTTCTGGGCTTAATAAGGTATTTTCTTAACTAAATCCATTTATTCGAAACTTTTCATGATAGAAGAAGCTTCAAACTCGATTGAACCGCTTTTTTATATTTTGGTTGTATTCTGCAGACATAATGTTTCTACTTAGTACATAGTTTAGGTTATATTTACTTGCAAATGCAACATTACATATACATATACGTGTTGCTTTAGGCTTAAATCAATAAAGCTAGCATTGAAAGCTAGGCAAATATAGGAAAATTAATTTCCTGATAATATAAGTTCGTCATTACAATCACTTGCAAAAAACTTGTTTTTAATTTTGATTGAAGTTTTCTTCACAAATCTATGAAAAAATGTCTACATTTTAATGCGTAGGTTTTTTCATGAGTTTTATTACAGATCTGGATAACCTGACTTTACATCAGCTTTAATTGCTTACATGAATGTTTGGATTTCATATCACAGCTTGCTTTTAGAAGAAGTTTTTGGTTTTTTTTGGTTTTGGAAAATAATGTTTAGGGTAGAGAAATTCTCATTCTTCACATTGTTACTTAATACGGGGTCCCTTCAAAAGTTTGATATCAAGGAAAGTTGGTCCGATACCTTTTAATGGTTTTACAATTTTTGATAGCTTATGTTTACAAAAATCAAAACCATTTTTGTAGTTGCTTATGAGTATTGCTTTTAGTATTACTAGAGCAAGCATCTGCTCAGGTGGCATCACTATCTCCAACAATTTTCGCATTTTCAGAAGAATCAAATTGGTTGGTATTAATATTTTGCTATCAAGAATTTTACCGAGGAAGGTAAACTTTATGTATATATATTATTGTTATACATATGAAGTTTTCAAGAGACCCATTTAAAAAYTYCMTTTAACGCTGATAGGTTTGGCAAAAAAAATCTTCTTGAATGCATAATTTCCGATGTATTTTTTTCCAAAAAAGTTAGAGGATTGTAATTTTTTAAACAGATATTTTGCGTATGTTTAGGTAAGTTTGACAACAGTTTTTTAAAGTAAAAAAGTTGCTCAAATTCAATTTAGTATTTGTCAACCTGTTTTTTAAACGATGTTTTCATTCTAATCAAAAGAAGATRCCAAGCCAAATGAAATTTGCCAAGTAAAAATGCTTAAAAGTTACTAGGGTAATTTTTGAATTTGACATAGAATGATAATTCTTTAAGAATGCATTAAAATTTATTGCACTTTTCTAACTTAGATAATTATAAAATAGTATATGGAATGAGCAGATACGCTAATAAGTAAACAAGTGTAAGTTCTCCTTATTCTGAGTTTTGCTTAAAAGCACGAAGAAATAATAATGGATTTAATTAGCTACATTACTTCAGACTATCTAGACATTTTATAGATTTGTGCTTTTAAGTTACGAAAGTAACCTAATGTATAAAGAGTACATCGCAAAAAATCATACTAACCACATGTTAAAATTTTAGAAAAAAAGGAGTCCAATAATGATAATTACCAAGCTCTGCACGATTATCTATCACGCGATACATATCAATCTTCGAGTTTAAAAGTTGCGTTTCTATTCAAAGCATTTGATATGCCATTTTCATTACATGTCAGTTATATGCAGAAGTTAACAGTTTTGGTCTGATTGGCAAACCAGCCAAAAACGATGTTTGAATTCAGGCGACAAGATCAGCAAACCCATTTACTTGATCTCCGTATACAGAAAAGGTACCGGCGATATACCTTGGTACCGCAAGTGCCACTAACAATACTGTTTCTGTAAAAGGTAAGGCGGTTCCGTCGCTAATTGCCCCCGTTATCGGACTATTAATTATTCGAACAATTCCATAAATCCAGCCATTCTGCAAGCTCAGTTCGGCTTAATTGACATTTCGGCTTTGTACCGCTTTTATTCAACCGATATTTTAGCGTAATCGTTTCGGTACAAGCCGATTAATTAGTTTTGATTGATTTTATGGGTGTTGTAGATGCTTAAATTGGACCGAACATAATCTTATCAAAACTTAAATCGCTGCTTTTTTGAGGACTGCTTGCGGCCCGAAGCAACGTGAAAACAGAAAGATTCCATTCCAAATTAGGTAGAGTTTACTCAAGATTTTTTACATCCCACTTGTAATACAAAATAAATTAACAATACTTCAGCCTGCATAATTTAAAGCTGGTCGTAAATTTTACCGGACACTTTAAATTTTAACTCTGATGAATGTCTTTTACCTTTTACGACCATTGCTGGTTTGACTGCAAAAATAGTACTTGGGTTCTGAGTTATGTAATATACATATTGGCATTTTGAATAGATGAGAATTTGCAACCGTGTGTTCTAGTTAAACACTGCCGCTTTCATTGAGTAATAAGTCATTTGCAAAGCAAACACATTTAAACTGAATATCGGATAAGCTAACGGCACTAGAGGCGAAAAGTGGAAATAAACTGAACATATTTATGTCAAATCTTGAATGCACATTTAAAAAGCCGAATAGCTTGTTTTATGCTAATATGTTTTTTATTATACGCTTGAGCGCTATGGATTCTGAACAAGTAATCGTACAATTAATGCAAGCATTAAGTTTAAATTTTTTAATAGCTTAAACAACTAGTTCCGAGCCATAAATTAAGAAGAAAATCGGGATATGTACATTAAGTGCCTCAAAATCCGTAGCTTGGCCTGTTCACCTTTCACCAATTAATATATCTATTTTTAACAGAACTAAATTAAATTGAATTATTTGGATTGCAAATTAAAAACTCGCTAACTTTGGAGTTATTATGACGTAAAATAAAGTTGAAAATTATTCAATTTGGAACAAACAAATTAAATTCATTTGTGGTGGAAACCCCTACAAATGGTGACAATTTTTTTGAAATGAAAAAAAAATTTGAACGCGCCCGAAAATTTTTCACATAGTCTGTATCGCAAGTAAAAAATGTATAGTCATATTATTGACGAAGCGAATGTTGTTAAGCGCTTATTGAGAATAATAAGTCAATCTAAAAAATGAACGACTGCAATATACAAATTGAAAACTGAATTCATTTTAAGAGCAAACCTGCGGTGGTCGTTATAGCGAGCGTTTTCATTTCATACGTTTCATCACAATTTACCAATAATTGATTATTACGTATGAAGGGTTTTTCCTCAAAAATTTTGAAGTCTACTTACGTTTACATTCATAGGCGTTTAATATCGAAGCCCTAGCCCATGGAGCGTCGTTGTAAAATGGAAGACATTCTCCACAGTCCGGCCCGGCAGTGTTATGTTCACATCGACAAACCCTGGACCGGTTTCCCGAAGAACTTGTACTGGTAACGCATTCGGAAGCATGTCCATTGCATTTGCATCTAGCTCCCACTGCTAGGTCAGCGATAGCATAAAAGTAAGAACGTAGCACATGCGAATCTCCAAATACTTCATCTCCGAATGTATTGATGCGGTCTAAAGTGATCATTATTTCTGTTGCTGTTACCCATTCCTGAAGCAAGAATCTCGTTATATGTGTCTTACCATGCGGGAGAGAAAGTTAACAAAGAAAAATAATGAGATCGCAGGATTATACAAAGCGCTTAAGGTTTGCTCAGATATGCAGTGTACAAAGTGGATTCATTGTGCTGCCCAAAAATATACAAAATAAAAATTCAATTAAAATAATTATTTGTAGCTGTTATAAAAGCATTTACCCATAAAACATCCAGACTAACTTCCGTCGTTTTAGTGGAGTTTAAGAAATATGGTGTTATTGAATATTGAGATTTTTTCCCGTTTTTTGTATCTTCCGTGTTTATTCTACGGACTTTGAACTGTTTCATGTTCAATAAATACCCACACGGTTTCAACTGTTTTTTTCGACACAATCTAGTATGGATCGTTCCGAGTCCCAAGTATCTTCTTATTTTATTTGGTTTCATCCCTCCTCATCTTCATTGGTGTTCACCATATGGCCAACAGTTTCATTCTATATAGCCAAACATCTTCTAATCCGTCTAAAACAAGGCTGATGGCCTGAGGTCGTGATTTTCTTTGTCGGGAGATTAATGGTGCTGTTGGTATTTTCCAAAACTGCGAGCAATATAAAGACGAAAATCCTAGCTACTAATAGAGAAAGTAATGTGGTCGATTTTCAACGTGAGGCTAAATCATTCATTTTCATCTTGCTTCTATAAGTAACTCGCCACTGAAAGCTTGGAAGATTTTTATCTTTGTCTCTTTTGTACCAGTTTTCTTTTTATTTATCTGGAAAGTCTTCAGCTGTCCGGTTCTATTCTGGTCATACTTTCAAACATTGCAATTTCGTTCCACGGCAATCTCAAAATACGATGAAAAGTGGACATTGGAAAAAGGTTCAATGGACCAGTGGTTGGTCGTTAATGTTTTTCGATGATGGCATATTTCCTGTGGCTGTTTTCAACAATGCTCAATCCGTTTTTTGTCGAAATTAGTGGTCTGATTATTCATTTGCCTGTGGCAATTGAGAGCAGACTTTTCTCGATATACATGGAGTCTGATAAGCACATCATCAAATGGGCACAAAGACATTCTTTGACTCAAATGAAGACCATATGACCTATCTTTGCTTAAGGAAAAATGTCCAGCTCCTTCTAATAATTGCCAAAGTTCTTTAAAAAAATTATAGAAGTAATATCGGGGCAGTGGTCCTATGGATTTTAATGAAACTCGCTGTGAATTGGTTGCTTTGTAAGGCTCATATTTTGATGAATAAGTAAGCGACCGAGTTCATCCGCTTTGGGCGAATGAGTAACTCTTGAGTGGCTTGGTACAAAAATTATCAGAACTTTTTATTTGGTAGCTGGAATCAATTGACTTTTTTTACTCTTTGTTAAATCTTGCAACATTCTTAGCTTTTGCGCAAAAAATGATTTCTGTATCCTTGCTATTTAACAATTTCAGATAGTATGATAACTGCAAACGTCGTAGTAAGCGGTAATGTTCTTTTATAATAAATGAGTTCTCAAGCGTTTTATGTTTTTAACTGACCGACATAGTCAAAGTTTTAGGCCAGGTCGTCTTTTGGGAGCGTTTTGGTCGAATTGCGTTCAGCAAAAATCTCACCAAAAGAAGAATTGAGTTTTTAGCTGCCAACATTTTAGGGCAAAAATGGGCACTTTCCCGATATTGCAAAAACTTACTTTAAGTTTTGTTAATGTAAAAAGTTAATGAATGTTTGAAATTGTAAAAAAAATGGCAAGAGAACAGAAATATTTTTTGATGAAAAACTATCAATGCTACAAGACTTTACAAAGAGGACAAAAATGACAAAATAGGATTAGTGCATCTTCTCAAAATAAAAATCAGTATTCCAGCTACCAAATAAAAAGTTCTGGTAGTTTTTGTGCTACCAGAACTGCTCGCTTGCCCAAACCGGTTGAACTCGGTTGTTTTATCAAAACATGAGTCTTACATAGGAACAAATTCATAGCGAGTTTCATTAAAATCCATCGTACCATTCTCCCGATATTTAAATAAAAACAATTTTTTTGAAGAACTTTGATCATCAATAGCAGAGGAGACAGGCATTTTTCTTAGTAAAAGTTAGATCAGATCGTCTTCTTTTGATCCAAATAATATCGCGGTACCCTTTTGATCACGTGCTTACGGGGCACCCTGTACATATGTAGAAATGGATTTTACAGCAAAGCAATTGAGAGCCTTATTATCACATACATTAATTATTCTACTACTTAAAGCTTTTTGAAGCAAAGTTCCTATTTCGAAATTGGGCCAAATACAACGCTTTTTCTTGATTGTTTTCTTTGTAACTGATTTTTGAATAAGCGATTTCTCATTTGTGCTATGAAAGGATTTGAAGCGTTTATCAAATTATCCCAAATTTGCCCTTGAAACGCAAGCTTTTGTAGCCTTTGATTAACACTTTGTCTAGAAAATTGTGTCAAAAGCAGCGCAGCGCGAGAAATTATTTGGTAGGATACATTTTTGAAAACGCATGCTTTATTTTGGACTTTGCGATTCGTTTTCAAATAAACAATTTTGTGATTTTGGCCCATTTGGGATTGCTCTAACTTTCATTTCTTCTTCAAAGTTGGAGAAAAATTATCGATTCACCATTGTCATGAAGCAGAAAATGAATTGGATTATAGTTACTCTGTAAGTCGCAAGTTACAAGCAAAACAAAGATGCTCATATCTCATATGCGGTGACCGATCCCACAAATGTTTCTTATAATTTATCGATAAATTGTATGCACATGGGCACACATTTTTTTTACATGATTTGTTAATAAATTTTCATGTTCTACATTGAGCAAAAATTAAACTTAAACTTGCTTCGAAGCATTAATTTAATGTAATTATTATGTAATACAAGTACCTGCGACGGTACTATCAAAAAGTACCTGCAAATCTGGGCTGGTATCGAAATAGTAAGCCGAAGGTCGTCCTTCTAAAGTACCAAATGCTACGTTTCCACCACGTAGCGGTGAAATGTCAGAGTACTCGGAGGTACACAATGCTCGCGTTTCTTCTCCTCTTTTGGCATGAGTGGAATCTGGTAGTCCGTAGGTGTCTCTGCAGGTGGCACTGCAAGGTAAAGCAATTAGACCATAGCATATTGGAAAATCTTCACATTCTCTGTTTTACTTGAAGTTACGATATTATCGTTTTCCATAAAATTGTCTCTTATCTCTAACAGCAGAAAAGCGACATGAAAAACATCGTATATACAAGGTGTCCCGTAAGCTCATGATCAAAAGGGTACTGCGATATTCTTTGGGCGAAAAGAAGACGATCTGATCTAACTTTTATTAACAAAAAATGTCTGGCTCCTCTGCAACTGATGGTCAAAGTTCTTAAAAAAAATTACCTTTCTCGAAATATCGGCAGAATGGTACGATGTATTTTAGTGAAACTCGCTGTGAATTTGTTCTTATGTAAGACTCATATTTTGATGAAACAAGCGAGTTCAGCCGTTTTGGACAAGTGGTGAATTCTTGAGTGTCGTACTACCAGAACTTTTTAGTTGGAGGATAAAATCAACTCATTTTTTTTACGTTGATGCACTAATCTTTTGTTCACAATTTTGAGCTCTTTGTAACATCTTTTAGCATTCATAGTTTTTGCTTAAAAAATATGTCTGTTTTCTAGCCAGTTAGCTTTCACGCAAATTGTCTTCGCAGAACCCTAATACTTTGACCATGTCGGTCACATCTTCATTAGAAAAGGTCATTCAAAACGAATTTGTGAGATTGTTTGACAATTATTTTATGCCTCGTATCACGATATTTGCAGTTAATGTCTAACATTGTTAAGTGGCAAGGAAACAGAAATATTTTTTTCCGCAAAAACTATGAATGCTACAAGATTTTACAAAGAGCACAAAATTGTGAATAAATGGTTAGTGCATCAATAAAAAAAAATGAGTTGATTTCATCCGCCAACTAAAAAGTTCTGGTAGTACGACACTCAAGAATTCACCACTTGTCCAAAACGGCTGAAATCTATTGTTTCATCAAAATATGAGTGTTACATAAGAACAAATTCACAGCGAGTTTCACTAAAATACATCGTACCATTCTCCCGATATTTAAAAAAAGACCAATTTTTTGATGAACTTTGACCATCAATTGCAGAGGAGCCAGACATTTTTTGTTGATAAAAGTTATGTCAGATCGGCTTCTCTTGGTCCAAAGAATATATCAGTACCCTTTTGATCATGAGCTTACGGGACACTCTGTAGATGACTTTGTTAAAAAATTGAACAATAATTTCTTAACTTGTAAAATGCTTCGATTTCCAGCAATTTTGCGCGGTTCTTCTTAAGCATTCCTGAATTAACACATAAAAGTTCACCGTAGTATGCTTGGTATGCAACGAAATATTTTTGTCATTTAAACTCACAGTGCGATTCAGATGAAGTTGAGTATTATGTAAAGAAAGATTGGAAACTTACTGGACTTACCTGTAATACTGATATGGTATCCAATCTCCTCCTTCATCGGTCTTTTTTGATAGATAAAAACTCTCAGGTCTAGGAGAATTGAACCATAATCTCACATAAGTTATATCAAATGCTTTACCTAAAATACGAAGAAAGTATGTGATATTTATTTAAGTGGAATGTTTTGTTGTAACTTGTGCTTAACGATTCTGGAATATAACACTTTTTTGCAAACGTGCGAAATATGCGTATTTACTATGAGATACAACCTATATATTTTTGTATTTTAATTATTAAATGATATAAGTGATAAAATACGTATACACAAATCTGGAGCCCATTTAAGTTTAATAAAATTATTATTTCTGTTTGTAAACACGTTTAGTGTTTAGTTCAAAGTGGCATTTTTCTAATTTGTATTTCGAAGTGATTTCAGCTTTTCCTGCAAAATGATTTACAGTCAAAATAAGTTTCATACATTTCTATAGAATTTATTTGCTAAGACTATTAAACCTCGAAAATTGCTTAACACTTACTTTCTAAATGCTTTCCGCCTAAATTCCTTTAGAAGTTTTCAGTTTGTTTTACAGCTATCATTAGAGTTTTGAAAATTTTTGTCAAATCAACTGTACTGCGCTTAATTGAACTAGACATTGATCGATTATTACTTAATAGCTCGTTTTTTTACTGAACAGCCAGCATTAATGCAATTATCCTATCAAAGCAATCCCATGTCGATTCAGCGTTTTTTTTTCTTTCATTGGTCTTAATCTTTAGAACAATGGTCTCTAAACAATTCCACTTAATTTTTGCAAATGAATCGACAGGAAGCATAAATCCGAGTCATTTAATCTGATTTGGCAGACGAACGTGGGTGACTTTGGACCCCAACACTGCTCTACGATTTCCGATAAATGTTGATTTGTTTCCTCGAGAGACGAGCTTAGATAACGAGTTAAAGATAATATTTGATTGTCTGCCCTAGGCTTAAATATCTGTTGAGCTAGAGATAACGAACGAACACGAAGGCACACTGTTGCTTTGCCAATATCTAATTATGCATATTCTAAAAACTACTAAGCTGTTTAGTATCAGTTCCATTACTTCACCTTAATTTCTACTCTAAAATACATTTAATATTATACTGGACGGTAGAACGTCGAGCTTTCCTAAAGAAAGAAAATGCGAAATGACAGTTTTCATTTCCTTTAAAAGGAAGCCGTAGAAAGACCGAGCCATATTAGTACCGTGGCCGTAAAAGAAGGATAAAAAAGTTGAAATGAAGAGGGTATTGTGTGGTTTATATGGGTGTATGAATAAAGGATTGAAGCTTGTGTGTGTTTTATAGCGTTCTCACGAGTGTACCCATTTGTACATATAAATAAAGGCTTAACAGTATGCTCCAGTTGATTCGAATCTTCCTTCTTGAATATTTTGCCTGTGTCTTTTTTTGACTTGTAACTAAACTTTTGTACGAACATTTAAACATAATTTCGCTACATTCCACCATTACGATCACTTAATTCGGCTCTGGGCTGTCTCAACCTGACCTGTTTTTACAAATTTATTTAAAATCCCCATCGAGATAATTTGTCGGTTTTTTGCTCGCCAGGATTTCATCTCGAGACACGCGACGAATTCAGCAGGCCATTGAGGTTTTGTTTTATTTTTGCGGTTTTATGTTTGCCGCATTTTCGGACTCGAGCAACAACTTTTAATCAAGACTTTAATCTTGAACGCAAAAATGTACAAGAAAGAGCCCATAAGAACGGCTGTAGAGATATTTTATCATGATGTTAGCATATAGGAGCAAATGGGGGTATTTTGTTAAATTGCTTACCAAACTTCAAAGTTAGATTAACTTGGTTCGGCCACTGAATCCCTTCAAGCATGGTTTCAGATTGCCACCAGGTCAGGTTGTCCAAGTTGTGAATATCAGTGAGGTAAATAGCATTGTGATCTCCAGGATTGCATAGTGCACATGATTTTCGTGCTCCAGATACTCCTGTTTGGAAGCAGTATTCTTGAGTATCCATTTCACCACATGTATTCGTTGCCTCTACCAGAAGGTTAAAAGCCGCATTTTCGAATTCGGGAATACATCTCTGCAAACATGGAGTTTTTAGATATTTTTCATTTCTCTTTGAAAATTATGCTGTTCTCAAACTCGTTACCAAGTTTGGGCCAAATTGTAATAAAGGGCAACTTTTATTATGAAGATCTAAATATTCGTAATCTTACGAATCTATTGAGAATTTATCTGAAAGGCATACAGCATGTCAAACACTATTAGAATATCATATAATTACAAATATGCAATTTATTTGTGGATCTAATAGGTAATAATGCAATCCATAAAATTGACCGCAAAGTAGGAGAATCCAATTTTCAACGCTAAAAGGCCTAAACTATCTCCGTTATATATACTATATTAAGTAGGAAATCATTAATAAGAAAATATTCAGATTATCAGCGTCTTTAATGTATTCCAAAACCAGATTGAAAATTACTTAGAGGGAATTTTCTGATTTTAAAATTCACAACACGCCAATGAATGATATATCAAAAAGGCATTATTAATTAAAGGAAACCACGTAGTTCGAAGTCTGGGTAATAAACTGGCCGTTCAACATTCCCTCGAGCGCGCCATGCGGTCTCCTTTTGCAAAATTGCGCCGCAATACCATCCGTCGAAATATCGAAATGATTAAGATGGAATGCAAATGGAAAAGGAAGTGAAAAACAAGAATAATGATGAAAGAAAAAACAGAGCACGAAAAACATTAATGATTATATCATCAGTGAGGGAGATGTACTAAATGGATTGTTTTGTGGAACAATATTTGTCTTTTAGACAGATCAGAAGATGTTTTTATTTGGTGTAAATGTATTACGCAATTAGGCAAAGATAATACTACACGAAGCGGTGTATTTGCTTTAAAAACATTCTTGACACTTGATTTAATGGATTAATGTGAACTTCCAGATCCAAGATCTTCTAAGAATATATTTGTTTTTAACGACAATCGAATTAAATGTTCATTTGTGTACTCGGGAGTATACGTTTTGATCGTACTATAAAAATATGATTCTAAGTGCAAGAATGTCCAAAAACTAAGAAAAAATACTGCGAAACACTTACAGGCAGAATATCTGACAACGTCAGGACAATAAATCAAATTAAAGATACTGTGGGTGTGTGAAAGACTTCTGCATTTTTGTACTGGCCATTACTTGAAATGTCAAACATTTCATTGTGTAGGAGAGTCGACAAGCTTTCACGTAAAGTTCTTTACGGCAAAGCAAATATTGACGATTTCCTTAGTGATTGTACAGGATAAATAATGGAAATGATGCACGCATAGTTTAGACACGTTTATGTATATTCTTAATACAATACTTCTATTTTTTAATCGTGAAATTAACCGAACACATTTATTTCTTTTTCATTATGCTGTTATTGAAGTAAACTATACGTTTTCTTAAGAGGTAAACTTTAAGGTTGTCAAACTAATACTTAAATAATATTTATATAATTAACTGAGAGTTTGAGGATAATAATTGGGATATTTTTTGTTTGCTGCAATACATAATTCGGAGACTGTTTCGAGAAAAAGGAAAACACCAGCTTAAATATTTCCAAATGCAGCCATTATCATGAATATCTCATCAATTACCATAGTAGAAATAGAGAACAGTTAGTTCAATGTGGACTTCTAAATCACGACGTGCATGAAAGTACTTCGGAAATCAACAAACACGAGCAATTTAAATGATATATACGAGAATGCGTTTAATAGTTCAGCAACCAGTACATTATTGGGAAAATTGGAATAACTGTATAATGAGGAATTTTATATAGAAAGTAGAATTTAAACCAATCGTATTTTGGAATTTATCGTTAATTTTCGAGACATTGGGGTTCTAAGTTGATCGGTTAATTAGTTGAATCGAAGAAGAAGAAATATATGTATTAACGTCAATGGCCATATAATGCACAAGTATTTATTTTTATTTTTACGCAAAAATCCTAAGTCAAGAACGATCATTCATACTTTTGAAATCTGAAGAATATTTAAAAATGTTGCCATTCGAAAAGTTTTGAGGCTCTAAAGTCAAATAATAACAATTAATCAAGGTTTTTTCGCGACCATTCGCTAAAATTGAAAACTTTTTCCCAATGAAACAAAGCACTGAAAACACAAACGATACACACGCGGCTTTAGGAAACGATAACGAATTTTAAACAATTAGTTTACATGACTGGTTCGCATCCTTTGTGTTTAAAAGTTTTAAAATATTATTTTATTCTTTTTCACATTTGCATTTAATGTTAATTGATTACATTTAAGCGCTTTACTTTGTAACTTGATTATTAAGTTATAAAATAATTAATACTTCGGAAACCAGTGTGATTATATTTTTTGAAAAGTTGCAGACATTTCAGTCAGTAAGTCATTCAAAAAAAGGCTTAAAAAATCTCATGCAGCCAATTAAACTCAAGCACATATAAATTCAATCACTCAATTTAAGCTGAGAACTGAAGGTCTCTTATCATTTAAAACATATTTTCTTTTTTAATTTTCCCACTTTGTCCTATAACATTCCTTGACCTCAACTTTTCATGTTTGTTCAGTTTTTGTATTGATTTGGTTTTGATTGTCTTATACTGTTTTTGACTGTTTTTGTCTTACATTTTATAGCTCTCAACAAGAAAAATATGTTTTGAAAAGCTTGATAATTGATTGATATTTAATTTTATAATTTACATTAGAAGGGCGGCTTTTTAACACTATAGCCACAATTAGCACATATTATTGTCAGTTAATACTATATTAATTCCAAGTTCCTAAATAATTTATTTATGGTACGAAATTTGTAACGATATATGTCATAGACAGAAATTATGTTTTGTATTGAATAGGTATAACATAATTCTATTTATTCAATAATTTTAAGAATTTCTGCCCTTTTATTACTTTTAGCGGAAATAACCATTTACTTACGTTTAAACATTAAGGAAGGTCGTTATTACTAAGATAATTGATTTGGAAAATATCTAACGAGTCGTGGAGTAAAGTAATTTCAATTTCCGGTTTTGTATGACTTACCTGAGGCAGGTTAAAAGCGTCATAGCATCGACTTAGTTCTTTTATCCCCACAACTGGAGTTTGCTCCAACTCGATTTGAGCTTCGGAAACGGTACAAAGTATCAAGATTATCGTCCATAAAGGCTTTCGGAATGTCACGTACATTTCACTTGTTGGTTGAAACACTTTAATTGATAATGTCATACGAGTTCACCTAGTTCAGCTATTTCGATGATTCGTTTGTGTATAGTAAATTATTGTCAGCAGAAATTTTGCATTTTGCACGTTGCTTAATAGGAAATTGTTGACAAAACTGGGAGTTTTAGTAAAAATCGACAATGTTGTTTTGTAATTATTTGAATTCAAATAATATGAATTGCAGAAAAGCTTACTCAGTTTATGTCAATACCCAATAGAAGATTAATATAACTTTTCTTTCATCGGTCGTTAATTCTAAGCAACTTTAGGTATATAAAATAGATATAAAATATATGGTTTTCCAAATAATATGAACACTTTTAATATATGGATGTTTTCCTGGAAGCAACTGACTAAATAGGACTGAATTGTTGCTAATATTTGTCTGTAAATATAAAGCTTTAAGTTCTTTTGTATACCAGTTTAATTTTAAGCATTAGTCTTATATATTTGCTTATGCATGTTTCTTTAATGTGCATAGAAGCTTTCAGGAACATAAAAGTTAAACTCTGGGAATGCAGCATTAAGTACGAATCATCTCTATCTAATTAAAATAATTGATGACTAGTTAAATAAAACTAATCCGAGTCATAAATGTGCTTTTATAGTGCACTAAACTGCATTGGAAATCTGATAGAGCGACCTAAATCCATTGAGCTTCAGTTTCATTTTAGGGAAACATTGTTTTAAAAATACAAAGTTTTTGCTGGCAGAAATTGTACAATACAAAACAAAGCTAAATGCAACTGTTCTTAGTGGCGCGCAATGTTTTCAATGTTTTGAAATATCCTATTGCAGTAGAAATATTAGAACTCTGAAAATATATGTACCTACACTCCGAAAATTTCTAATTATAAATATAATGCACGATGCACGATATATTTGTATGTTTAGTTCTTTCGTTTCTACAGATTTTAAAAACCACAATTAAAGTAAAGTACCAGTTAAAAGATTAAAAGTACCAGTTAGCAAGGAATACAAACCACGACAAATATTATTTACTTTTGTAAATTGGTATTTAGCTTTGCCGGATTTTGTCTCACTTAAAAAATCACTGGATCACACAACTGTTAGCGATGAATGAAATTTTCTACCGCAAAACGGACATCGTCGGTATCGCACTGCATTTTGGCACTGATCTAAAGTTAGTTAACCTTTGGGGTACTATTTTTGACTTAACTCATTGAAAAGACAAAAAGTGTTTTGAGCGCGTCGTTTTTACTAACCCGGCTCGAATGGCGCGTCAGTCTCAAGACCAAGTAAAAAGTATACGAAGAATCGGCGGTTTGTCGATCAGATGGGTACAGCGTGTGAGATCCAGATGCGATGCAGGCGAGAATGAACACTAGAGTGGTACTTTGAGACTTTTTGGTTCTTTCTGCGAGTACTACGGGGGTACCATTCAGTGGCGTAACGCGATTCACCTTCTGATAACTCGAAGAATGACCACTTAACGACAGACTATTTAGTCACAGAAGCTTAGTTTGCGATAGAACGATTGCCATAAAATGTGGTCAGAATTACCTGAGAACAGAATTGTTGACCTGTTTGCTTTCTTTATGAATTGAGTAGTTTTCAATTACCAAAAACTATTCGAACCTGCATCGTTTAAAAATATAATAAAATACTTGTAATGTTAAGTCGGCTGAAATTCTAGAGCAAGAGGGCTATTCTTGAAATGTAGAGTACTTGCTGTGGTTGCAATTATCACAATATTAATATAAGTAGTTCGTAATGAGAAAGTAAAGTAAAGTTTTACTGTTAATGGACCTGATATTTGGTCAACAGCTCCTATCGTTTTAAATTATTTTTAAAAGAGTTTAGGTTTCTATTAGATAATCACCACATAATTTTCCCTGTCATAATTAGGATTAAATTTAATTATTTAGTCGATGGTTCCACCACTGAAACCGATTGAAAAATCTTCAACATGTGGTTTGGAACTATCCGAAAGACAGAGGCCACCGATCATTTAATTAGTGAGAATCCCTGGGGCTCGTAATATGCTAAGAAGTTGAAAGTCATTAAACAATGCGATTAGGCATGCATTCTTTGTGAATAACATCGAAAAATTGGTCAAGAACAGGACTAGGAATTTTCGGTTTACGGGACTCACAAGGTGGTAATATTTCAAAATGAAAAATGGCTTAAGAATTTTTTTACGAGAAGAGGAAATTTGAGATAACTTCTTTGTAAATCGGTTAAAATTAGAAATGCAAGAAATTTAGTGATGATTTATTTCTACAACTGCAGTCGCTGTTGCAAATGGATACCTATGGTAAAAGTACATACAATAAAATTTGCTAATCGGATTGATATTTCATAAATTAGGTAAATTATGCCTGTTTGACTATAAACTAATCTGAAATAACTTCTTAGTAAAATGCAACCTGTGAAATCGAACGACATTGTTCAGAGTTATTTTTTAGACTTTTTAGGTAATTTGCTCTGATGGATGTTATAATTTGGTTCTCGAAAGTGTTCCTCGTGATTTTTAAACAGATGCACCTCTAGTGCGAAAAAAGTACCCATAAGTAGTAACTAGTGCCGCAAATGAACAAGATAACAAGCCTTATGAAAAAATTACCGAGCAAGTGTTGCGTTTGAGTTTCACAGGCCCAAAGGAAACTCTATAGCCTCATCTCGTTACGCCACTGTAGGTCAATAATTTATTTGATCTAAGAAATCAGGCAGCAAGGGATTATAGACGTCGAATGTGCTGAATATTTAAATTATTAGTTTTCAAATTCCATTAAGTGCCAAGCAACTCTTGCGAATTTGGTATAGAACGAGAAGCTTATTTCAGTGGCATTGTTGTCCTTCACTTTTCTTGCTCAATTTTAATATGTACACGTTTGACACGATTTTTTCAGTAAATTCGGGTAGAGTGGATATTTTTTTTACAGTCGTCTTTTTTTATTTCTTTCCTTGATATGAGTTGGAAAATGTATGGCTCTGTTCGCAGAACATTCGGGTAATAATTAATGATTCATTCAATCCCAATTGACAAAGCTCATCATACGATAATTTTAATTATCACTACTTTATAATTCGCTTTAGAACCTCATAACTTTTATAGAACTAATCTTCATTAGCGCAACACCAAGATTTGAATCAAGCCGTCTATTCATTTTAAATTAATTTTTAATCTATGAAAAGTACTAATTTTATATTAGTCGACTGTTAAATATGCTACATATAATAAGGTTCATTGACTCAAATTATCACTCAATTTTGATAATTCGGAATTCAGTCTGAAGGTCTGATTGTGGAAGGTCAATGCTGTTCAAAGTATTTTATCTCTTGAAACACCATGTTGTTATCAAAGAAACGGAATTATGCATGTACATATACAAAAAAATAGAGTAGGATTGGATGGATATATGTACATTTGGCGGGTTCTCACAAATTTAACAGCATGTTAGCGAAATTATAATTACATATATTTAGTTACGAAAGCGGCACATATCCGACGTTTAAGAAGCCACAAAAGTGTAGTGTATTAACACACAACTTATCCTATTCCAAGTTAATTATATAAAAGCATGCAAGCGAATAATCGATGTCAATTAGAAATATGTTAAATTAATTTGATGGTTGCACAGGTTTGGAAGTTCACACTAGATTAAAGTCCATTTATTGTAGACAACGTATTTAATTATAAGATATACCCGATGGCGATAAATGATTCATGTGACCATCTTTTCATGGTTTTAAATATTTCACCTAGCGCGGCTTATGTTGGAAAATTTTATGCCAACACAATTTTTTTTAATAAAAACTGTACAATTTAAAATTTTAAATAAAATCAATAATTCAGCTTAAATTGCAGCATTGAACATAACTGGACACGAAGCGTAACGTATTCTAAAGTTAAAGGAAAATTGGTTTTTATTCGTAATAGCAAGAACTAGACTCTGTCTGACTTCTGCTACTGCTCCTCATTGAAGGCCGTTGCAAGTTTGTTGAGTCATTGCCGTCCATTTCCGAAGACTCTTTGTTAACCACCTCCGGATTTTCATCAGCCCTAACATCAGCTAGTAACGAAACACTCTCAATATGGCTCATTTCCTGTTCTTCTACAGACTGTTCGGCTATGTGATCTTCTTCATAATACGGCGAGTTCAGTATGGTGTCAACACTGTTATCATCTCTGACTTCTGTTTCTTCAGAAGTAGATCCGTCTGATTTACTTTCCGCGTCCATCTTTGAAGAACATCCATCGTCGAATATTTCAGATAAATCGTCGTCTGAGCGCCCAATGAAAGTAGTTTCCCGTTGTGATGTTGAGGGAAACGAGTAATCTTCGATTTTTGTATTTGCCAATTCTAAAATCATTTGCTTTTCAGCTTCAGCTCTTTGTAGATCCTGTCCGAAGTGAATTATTACATCTTCGTCTATGGCATTAACTTGCTTTTTCAACGCGCATTTTATTCTGGGACGAAATGAAGTCGATTTGTTTATTTGGCCGAGATCATCAGCTAAAGATTGAGAATTTTTATATGTGTCATCACTGTCTTTGGTTTTATTGCTATAGTTTTCATCACTGGAAGTTTCGTAATCTTCACTATGGAAAACGAATCTTCTTTTCGTTCTTAGTTTGGAATCATTATCCCTTCTAGGGGGTGGTTTGTTATCAGCGGAATGCTTATATCTTTGTTCAAACTTTGGAGATGTTGCACCGCCTTTTTCAATTAACTTATCGTCGCTATTCGTTTTGCTAATTGTTATAACAGGAATAGTTTCAGACCAATTTGATGATAAAGAATCTTCTCTTTGCAACTGTCCACTTTCCTCATTTAGGGCAGTTTCATCAAGTTCAATAATAGTTTTTTTGGCCTTGTTAATCCGTCTCTTCCCTTTAGTTGGATGTTTTTGCTGTGGTTGTGGTTGCTGGTCCACTACCTGTTCAACGTCAAGAACTCCTAACTTTTTGGCTTCAAGAATTTTTTTCAAAAATGGGTTTTCAGCTTTTCTTGTTCCAACTTCTTTGTGTTTATGAGAAACTTTCTCCTTGCGATCTGTTTGTAATGTAGTTGCAATATTTGCGATTCTTACACTGTGATGTCGTTTGGTTTTGGGGACTGAACTTGCGCGAATTGCATCTTTTAAAGTTGTTGGATTTTCCATAGCCTCTGTTGGAAAAAGTGTAACTTATTTACATAGGAATTATTAAAAAGCTACATAGTTAAATGGTTGATGTTATTCGATTACCTTGCACATCTTTATGTAATTGTTTTTTCTCTGTATTTTCATCGGATTGAATAACTCGCTGCGTCACATTTTCGTCTTCAGTTTTGCCTTTGTCTTCTAAATGGGTTACGATTTTGATAAGAAAATATAAAAAAATTACTCATGGATTATGCACCTCGTTGGCTGTTTCGTCTGATGGACCATTTGCTAATGATTCCCTGTAAAGTGTGAATTTCAGGTCGGTCTGAATTCGTTTTGGATACAGCTTTGCCCACCACATCTTTTGAGTTGTCATAAGGTAGAGAATCATGCTGGTCAGTGTCTGTACCATCTTGCTCTTCATCTGATGACGATTTACCAAGAGCTTTTTTTATTAGTCTCGCGAAGAATACTACAAAACTAACATTTTAGGACATATTACGTATACTCGCACATGTGGACACCTTTTCCTCTATTTTCCACTTTTTCAATCTCCTCTTCCTCCTCCTCTTCTTCATAATCATCACGTTGACTAGGGACAATATCATCAGATTCTTGACGGGTATCATCGCAACTTTGAGTAGTAGGTAAATTGCCCAATATTTTTTTCCATTTTGAAAATGGAGTTTGATCTGCCGATTCTCCAGATCCACCTCTTCTTCTTCGATCGGCCAATTGGAACATTTTCCGTCTTTCCTCTGTACGCTCTCGTCTTAATTGAGTCTAAACAAAAAAGAGATTTGTGAATTTTGATTGTTAGCAACTTAGTAGCGGACCTTCAAATCATTGTTAGCTTCTCTCAGAGCACCCGTTAGAGACACTAAGTAGTAAATAATCAGCACGAGAAGTAATAAGAGCGGAATAACAATTCCGGGGGATGCGATGTAGTCCAAAGCCCTACAAGTAAACACGTACTATCTGAATGTTTTGAGTAATCTAATTTTACCTGTGCATTGATTCGGGAACATTGGCCCTGATAGTTTTGGTAAAAATATGGAATATTTTTTGGTAATCTGAAAAGGGACCACAATGCCATGAAGGTTCTATCCAGACGATGGCATATCCCACAGGCAAAACACAAAGAAACAACATCATTAGGAGTAATCCATAGTAAAAGTTATTAGATCTGGAAAATTATGTTGAGATTAATATGCTTAAAATTCTAAGCGAAGTGCTGTTACCTCGATGCTCTGAAAATTATTTCGTGTGGCACATTGCATGTGAGCACTGCCCAAGTTCGTAAATACATGAGAATGAAGAGTTTTATTACATTCAACACCACTAAGCCGGGAGAAAAAAACATTCCCATCCAAACCATGCCTTGATTATTAACTGAAAACGCATTTTTGAATATACCTGACAAGAATTACATTTGATAAATCATAGATTTAATTTTAAAACATTTTATATAATTTTCAAAACGCAAATTGAAACACCAATATTTATACGCAGAAAGAGCACGTTCTTTATCTTTGCTTTCATTTAACATGCGGTTTATTCATAGAGCCCATTGGAGCAGCATTAAGCTCAGTACAAATTTCATGCTCGTAAGGCAATCATATTTTTATAGTTATATGGACATATATTAAATATATTCCTACTCGTCTTGATAGCAACTGGAAGTGGAAAATACAGTAAATATTAAGTATGAGTTTGAATTTCATAAAAGATGGCTTAATAAGCATTTTGTGGATTTTTAGAAACAATTCCGAACACTTGTGCTTTTGCAACTGCAGATCCATTTGCAGCTCAAAAAAATCGAAGTTTGTGATACAACTAACAATTCGCTAGGCTTGTGCAAGTTAAGCTTAGTTAGAAACCTACAAAGCGGACCCCTTATAGAACCGTGGCAGTGCTTGCAGCTAACTGATTAAGACCGTAAATTATTTTTAAATTTATGCGATAGGCGGATGTAATACATTAAACTTATGTTCATTTACAATTTTCCGAGTTTTCAATGAATCATTTTCTAAACCTATATCTGTTATAACTCCGAATAACTCTGTTATAACGCTGGAAGAGTTACAATTCAATTCAGTGTAAAGGTTTTAAAAACATACGCACCTAAGTGTAGAATATTTTCAGCAACTTTAAAGTCGCCATATTGGGGAAAATTTTTCTCCAAATCCCAACACCAACATCGATTCATAAATCTGACAAAAATACCTCTAAAACAGAAACCAAAGCCGCATATGTCAAGTGGCGAATACAAGAGTAATTCGTAATATAATCCAAGTCCAGAAAACATGAAAAGATAAGTTGGTCTTTAAATTTTCGTACTAAGCGGGCACACTTTTTTAAACTGTTCTTAAACTGTTTGAGTGAAATTTAATAAAAAGCCAGCATTATAATGTAAATTGGGATAATAGTTTCTTTAGAAAGTTTTCTTAAACTTGCTGTCGAGTTCCGACTTTATTAGAACCAACTTCTAGACTTGCAATAAATCAGAAAGCAACTTATTTAACTGCAAGCGTCTCAACTTAATTATTTCGTATAATGGAAACGTGTATATTTTGTAATTGTATTACCTACCTGAAGAAGTCCATCATCAAAATGGAAAGTCCAGTTACAATGAGATCCATCAAAGTCAGCTTAATAAGCTCCTGTCCAAACATCGTTTCCCAGCATAAACTACGCAGTTTAGCATTTAAAGTATAATTTCGAATTTTTCTATTCTCAATTTCTCCATAACTGATAGACGTTATGGAAATGCTAGAAACTGTAGTACTCGACGTCATGCTTTCATTACTTTGGCAGTATCTTTGGCAATACGAATTGCTGCTCTCTTCTGAATTTGTATCGGTGGAAATTTCGGTGGAATAAGTTGCATTAGTAACGTCCAAAAAGCTCGATATAGTTGTACTAATCGTTTCGTACAAAGTGGACAGCTCCACGTCGAAACGTTCTTCTTCATGGGGATTTGTAACATTGAAGACAGGTCGCAAGGTGGTTTTAAAATAGTCAAAATAAGTTGAAGCTATAGTGGAACCCGGTTCAAACGTAAAATTTTGCAAATCCGAATTTGTGGCACTCAAATTTTGAAACTCCGAGGATTCCAAGCTGGAAGCATTCACAAAATCGAACGGGGATAAAATGAATGTGAGATAATCGACAAAAATATCTTTAAGATCGTTTACGGAGAGCTCAGGACTACTAATATCAGTAGTATTATTATCATTTGAAAGCAAAGTTGAGTTCTCAAAATATGTCGTAAAGGTGGTTGGACCAGTTGAAACTTCGACGCTTGAAGCAAATCCTTCATCAGGCAAAGGAAGCGAATTATTAGACGTCATTTCTCTTTCAATGAGATTAACAGCAACGTCGGTCCGATTATTTATAAAACTTTTTGCGATGTGATTGAGTGTTGGCAAAGCTAATGCTGAAAGAGTTGTGGCCCAACTTGAGACCAAATCAAAAGAGGTAACTGTTGGATCGGAAATAAAGTTCTTGGTACACACACATGGTGTGCCTGAACTGAAAAAATCCGAAGACTGGGTTACTTCCGAAGAAATTGGCATGGAATATAAAGTAAGGTTGGTTAGTTGGGTTTTGGACAAGTTGGTTTTGATTTCTTGAAGAAGAATTGTCTGGAAACGGACAGTTTCATTTTTGAGTTTGATTGTTAGAAGATGTTTCAAAACGGACTTACCATATCGCTGATTTTATCAAAAAGGGCAAATATGAGGGAATACAAGTTGAGTAGATTGAGTACCATTATTCTGGAAAAGATGGTTCGTGTAAATTTCTTATGATCGATTTTCTCGATCAAGGCAGTTGCAGTTGTTTTAGCTATTTGTTGTGTGGATGGATTTATACAAATCACCTTAACAAAACGCCCCTTTCCATGCTTCAATGTTTTGATTTAATATTTATATGTGATCAGGATCATGACTGCGATGTCTCGCATATAGTCTATAGCCCTCCACAAAATTCAAGTACAAAAGATTTTTGGTGACAGAACACTTTTTCACAAACCGTTGGCCCAAAATACCACCATTATCGTAAGACGTAAATTTGACAATTTGTTTTACAAATTATCGTCGATTAAGTTTTCCGAAATCACAACTACAACACCTTATCTTAAAGTAGGCCTGGGAACACTGTGTTGGGTTGCGCTATTGAGTTGTTGCCGCTCGCTGAGTTGAGAACTCAACGGTTCATGAGTTATAAGTGATTTATTAAAGCTTTACGCGAACCGAGACCAGAATTTTCACATCTAAAAGCAAGGTCATTAACATTTTTTCTGAGTAACGTTTTACTACTTTGTTCAAACACCTAAAAAAAGGCATCTAGATTTTCCCAGCAACAGWWYTSWKGYMAAAKMGTRTCKMYKAGTTTTTTTGCATAAAACATTCAGTTTGCCAGTATTTWACAGTAAAACGTTAKGAAAAACGCGGTTTTCCTGTTTAGAGAGAGTGTTGTTTAGAAATATTGACCTAAAAGTGAAGAAACCCCAKTTTCCAAAAGTTTTCCAAATAAATGATGGCTTTCSCTTTTTCAGTTCGGGGAAAWATTTTTGGAAAAAGACCCAGAAATAATTATTTGGKTTTTATGCCAAATTCGAAGCTGAAATGCGTTTTCTRAAGTTCCTTGCAAACTGATGAATGAGGCGAATTTTCCAGCAAAATTAATTTTGTAATTTTTGACTGAAAAGACCCCATTATTTCCAGATAAGAAGAAAATCATCAGAAAATAATGTTTTCTTGCGTTTTCGATTAAAAACTTTTAGTTTTGTGAACGGTTTTAGAGAAAATCTGACTGGTTCCTTGCAAACTGATGAATGAGGCAAATTTTTCAGCAAAATTAATTTTGTAATTTTTAACTGAAAGGACCTCATTATTGTCAGACAAGAAGAAAATCATCAGAAAATAATGTTTTTTTTGCGTTTTCCATTAAAAACTTTTAGTTTTGTGAACGATTTTAGAGAAAACCTGACTGGTTTTCGGGAAAAAACGGTAGGAACTTATTTTCATTTTTGTGCCGAATTCGACGCTGGAAAACATTTTTGTAAAATTTGTACGAAGCTATAAATTTATCATTTTTATCGTAATTTTTCGCGTAAACGACCTCCAGATCCTCAGTATTTTTAAGTGAAACTCTATAAAAGAGAGTGTTTTTGAGAGGAAAGTAAAGCAAAAAAAGGTTCAATCAAAACTAAAAAATCACATTTCAGTGTTCAGAGGTATGGAGGTGACGAGATTTCCTAATAATCTATTATAAACTTTCGTTTACTTTGTTCGTTTTTTGATAGAAAATTATTTGATTTTTGTTCCAAATTGGAAGCCGGAAAGGGATTTTCAAACTTTTTCAAAGCGACGAAGGATTCGAAATTGATTTCATAATTTTTCGCCGAAAACACCTTCAAATTTTCAGCATTTTTAAGTAAAACTTTAGAAAATTGAGCATTTAGAAGAAAGAGTGAGTAACTTGGCTAAAATTGAAAATTCTGAAATTTTGAAGAACTTTTAAAAATATTATTAATAGATGGCCCTTAAAATAAATCTGAAAAGAAGTAAAAAAGTCACCGACATTTTCTCAGCAACGGAACTGGGTTACAGCGCCGGTGCGTTGGGTTGGCGCACCAAGCCATTTGCGTAGCACTGCGCCAACTCCTAAAAATTTACTGAGTTACCCAGGCCTATCTTCAAGCATACAATTTGTTCAAGTGGCTCCTCTAATGGCTTTAGTCGATGGCTCACTCTTAAGAGTACGTATCCGAAATTTTCTACAAAATTCACTAACATTTTAGATACAACTTTGCACCTTTACCGAGCAACCTGGATTTGATTTATGGCAGAAACACAGATACCAATGACTAAGATTATTTTCATCAAAAGATAGTTTAATGCAATTGTTCCTCAATAGTGTAGTGTCAAATATTTTCCTCCACAAAGGTCCTACTCGTTCATGTACCCTTTTGAACGCGGTAAATGTCTGTTTTTGATTTGAATTTTGCATTAGAAATTGAAACAAGTTTTGTGGCAATACAGGAAATTTTTGTGAATCTTACCGCGCCAGTTGCAATCTCAACTGTTTCCTGGGGTGATACTGTTCTGCGAAGCCCAATACCTCGAATAGCATTGGAAATGACAGAGTAATTAGAGTCATAACGACTGTAATTTCGTTCTTTCGCCAGACAGTGCTATCAGCATCCGGTTCCGTGGATCTTTTCACCACTACAATGACGGCAAAAGCGGAACAAGAAAGCAGTCCCGCAACCAAACTATTCACGAGCACCCGAAAGCAGATAACTTTCCAGCTGAAACGAAAAGTGCAGAATTAATGAGTTTCCAACATTTCCGTCAACAATCAATAAAAGTTGATTTCAAGTAATTTCGCAAATTTCAATATTAATAATATTTCGGTTAATTGTGAAGTTTACAGGCTCAGTTTTGCACATGTTAAGCTTTTTCGTTTGGCGTATTGCACCGTTGAGTTTGCTATTTGCTATTAAATTGGTGCTCATACTTTCTTGACTCCCTCTTTTTTTCTGCTTCCTCTAATAGGGCCTCCTTGAATCCCATCACAATCGAAGCGACTCTGTTATGTGCCGTTTCGGCATTTCCAATCATGTAATCCCAAGCCGTGAACAGTTTCCAGGAGAAAATACATTCGTCGTCTTTTTCTGATAACTTGGACATTCTGGAATTTTCCGCCATTCTGAAAATAGAGTGGAATTGTTGACGTTTAATTGAACAAACAGATTATAATCTTGAATCTTAATTATTCCGTTCAAATAATTACTTTCTCAATATCGCAAAGAAACTGTAGGCATAAACTACCAATCCTGTAACAAAGTAGGCAAATGGTAATCGATATCCACGTCCATGGCTTATTTTGCCATCAGAAGTAGTCAGTACGGTAGAATCGTTATAATCTCGATTGGTGTACCACCCATAAAATAACGGAGAATATTTAAACACCCCTTCAAAGTCCCATAGAGTTAAGAAATTAGTCGAGTTGTACTTTTCTTCGGGTAGGACAAATTTTCGATCTTTTTCCGCTTCAGTATCGGCAGTAATGATCTGAAATACATAATATTGCTTATGAAAGTACGTTTTTATGCGTTTAACGCCAAAAATTACATGCAATAAAACTCATTATGTTCTTAAGGATTTACTTACTGAGTGCGGATTACATATATACATTTTTTTAAATAAATATATAAAATAAAAGACACGACGAGTCTTGTCGATATCTTCTAACGTCATTATATCGCATTGTTGTTAAATTCGCATTCGAACTATTAAATAAACATACAATTGACACTTGCAAGTTATGCATTATTTCAGTTCATTTTCGTTAAACACTGCTGAACTATGAACAGAAAATGATACATATTTTTCTGCTGTTGTGGAATTGCGTTACAATTATTCAATGTTTTCTGTACCCTGTTATCGACCCAGTTAAGTTATACAATTACACCGCTCCGGAAGACCAAGTGACCTTTTATTTATACTCTTAGTAAGTAATTTCTATATAAGTTGAAATAAAATTAGTTGATTAAATTTGCGGGGTTACAACTTCAATAGGTCCGGGGCATTACTCGAAAAGATATAATCTAAATCCGCCTATTCATGCTTTTAATGGGAAAATGCACAGGAAATTGAATTTTCGATGTAACGCAAATTGAATTTGTCTATTTGCTATTACGAGAAAGACACCGTATTCCATTTTGTGTCTGAATCAAGGAATTGGCACGATATTCTCTCATTTCCAGTGACGATCTTTCAAATCCTGACCAGATTTTCGTCGACAATCCATCCTCTATTAGCGATTCGAGGTTTGATCCAGATTTGGAAACCAAAGTAATTATTCATGGTTGGTCTCACAATCGAAACGTTCCTTGGCTGGTCGAAATGCGTGAAGGTATTTGTACTATTTTTAACACCCACCCTAGTTGTTTTTTGAAGTCCCACGCTTTCACTTAGCGGTAATAAGTGCTTAACGGGAGTTACTTGTGTCTTTCCGCGGGCAGAAAAATGCCAATTGACCCAATTTCAAGATGAACAAGAATAGGTTTTAGAGCGTAATTAAAAGACTTTGGCTAAGTAAAATGTTTTTGTCGGGCAGTCTTAGCTTTATTGAAGTATTTTTCTAAACATCAAGCATTGGTTTATTCCCAATTTAATTCGCGTTTATTCACTTTTTTACCTTAAAATAACTAGGCATAAAGGGAATTTATTTCTAACTTTGAATGATGAGGCGATGGTTTTCCTGCTGAATATCACAGTCTAATTTTGAACCCTCTTTGTAAAAGCAGCTACCCTTTGTTAACCCTAAAAGCAGATTTTATTCCTACGAAATATAATTTCGAAATAGTAATGAAATATTTGTGAGATTTGGTCGTATTTGATTACAAAATCTATTCATTGAGGCGTCAATGCTCTGGACATTAGGCTTCAAATATTTCTGCATAATATAATATAATATAATAATATACAAAATAATACTTAACGCAATAGTTGCGCTAAATTATAAAAATAAACTTTTAATAACATTTTTAATTAATGGATCAGTTATGATTTAATAGTTTTTTGTTACAATACGTATTTTAACAATATTTTTCTGTGCGCTCGCTTCTGAATGTTTAGTTTTCTAACTAACCAGATATCGAGGAAATCGTAATTAAATATAGCAAAACGCACCCAAAAAATATCTAAATTGTAAGGAAAACCGGACATATAATTCATGTTTGTAATATTATTTTACTATGAATTTTGCTGCTAATTTATACACGCTACATGCTAGGAATGTACTTGAAGCTGCATGATTTAGAAAAGTCAAAGTTTTATTATTCCTCTTCGTTTCGTCTTATTAATAATTACTCCCTTCAATATTAGATTAATTGTTCATTTGTTCTGCTTGATCTTATTGTCTAAATCATTTTATGGCTCAAAAATTCGCGTGATGAATTATTTTTAGTTTGAATGTTGTTGTAGTTGATGAATAATCTACATATTTACTTATTTTAGAGTTATATCTTATATAGTACTTAGCATCTAAGCAAAATAATATTTAATATTGCTTGGAATTTATTAGCAGCAATCGAAAATATAAAGTGTTTGCAAACCATGGTCAAGTATAATTTTATTAATTAAAACTTGGGTTTTTAAAAACACTTTTATTTCAAAATTAGTACAATTTTTTAATATGGATTTTAAATGTGAGCGAACATAACCGTAGACTATCTTTAGACTGAATTCTCGTTTCTGCTGTGCTTTGTTTTATATAAAAATTATGCTGATCATAGCAGAAACGATATTGCGTCTTATTTTAAATGTTTAATCGGCGTAAGTGGTCATATAATTGTATACAGAATGCGCAGACAATAAAATATCAAGCGGCAAAAATAGCAATCGAATTCTAGAGATTATTTCCTGTGAAATCTGTAAAACGTTCCAAAATTTCTAAAGGTCTAATTTATTCTAAACGTTTCTAAAACGTTCCTAAAGGTGGAAAAAAATCTCCTTAAGGGAGAAAGAGGTTCTCTTGGTATTTTCGACTTTTTGGTATTTATAATATTAAAATCGAAAACTTTAAAGTGAGAATGGTTTTAGAGTTAAAAAATACTTTTCGAAATCAATTCGTAATGCGATTATTTATGAGATAATTGCAAAGTGACAAAACATTTTGTGATTTATATACATTTGTACCTTTCAATTAGTTGTTTCTGCATGTTCAAGTATTCCTATTAATCTACAATACTGAAAGTGTGTGATTTTGGTAAAAAAAATACCAAAGCCGAATGCAACATTGGATGAGATGGTTTAAGTCAAATCAACACCAATTCATTTGTAGATTTTGCGGTCTAATTTCATGCAAACATTCAAGCATGAAAACCTCTGCATAAAAATAAGTCAAAGTTTGCTATAAAACCCTGGTAACTTTAAAACGTTCTAACATCTTGAGTGGGTAACTTAGGCAAAGTTTGTTCTGGTTTGGTATAAAATCTGCTTTTTAATGCAAATTTTCACTTCCTCCAGTGACTCCAGTCCTCTTTAGACGGACATTTCATATGGTCGTGTACAATATTTTTGTGAATATTTTGTTCGTGGTACGACTAGCAAATACAATAAATTTGTTGATTAAATAAATAGCATGTTTTAAATATATGAATACACCTTTCTGGCTACATTTTAAGACTCTTTACGTATCGGATTTTTTTAAATCAATTTTCTCTTTCTGTTTGTTTCGATTGGAACTTGACTTTGGGGCTACATATTTTGCAAAGTTTGTTTTTCCACATTAATTATTAGAAGGTTGCATTGTGTTGCAGCAATGGCAAATAGGGAACAATGGAACATAATAGTCGTGGATTGGGCACCCTTATCACACGTCATTTACATAGAAGCTCGAGTACATACGACCGTTGTTTCTAAGCAGGTGGCCCACATGATTTTAACGCTCAAACGGTAAGAACAATTAACAACGCATTAACAAGGCTCTACTTAATAATTATTTCCGCTTTCGTTCATAACTCAAGTATGATACGAGTGCTATTTAAAGACGACTATGAAGAAAGTAACTTTGTGTAACATTTTACTTTTGTACGTAACAGTTTTCTACAATCGTTATAAATGCATAAAATGAAGCACTTTAAACTCGCAATACTTAGAATGTATTATGGAATAATCGCAACTCTGATAAGTTTTTTTGCGAATTTTGACATAGGTTTGCTGGTCTACATTTGGCCGATGTACATTTGATAGGTCACAGTATGGGAGCGCAGATCTCAGCTTATGCAGGATTAAAAGTACATGAAATTACTTTAGAAAAAATTGGTAGGTGAGTATATCCAGGATGTCTGCTCACTGGTTTTGACTGCTCTATTTTTAATTTTATCAAGCCATTATTTACGTGTGCTTGGGTGTTTAAAAATGCATCGTGTTTTTATTGGAGTCTAAGTTAATTGTTCGGTTGCTTGCTTGAATTAATCTTAGCTCTGTTGATATCATTGTCGTTATCAATACCCTTCTATGGAAAGGTTTCTGAATATCAAAATGTGCTTAATAAGAGCAGAGCCCATATGGATCCGTTTTCCCTATATTAATGTTTACACACAACTAACTAACAGTGGCTTTTAAGTAATTTAACTCGACCGCAACGCTCCTCTAGATTATGTTCAAAAGTTCAAAGTTTGTTGCATATTCGCTACTTTCCACTCTGTATGTTTTACCAGTATATGGCAATTTAAATCTTGAAATAATTAAAATATGATTTACACCCTTTTCTTCAACTAACGTCTCTGAATTATTCGGCTCTCTAACGATTTTCTGGGCCTGTTTGCTTTATTTTTCCAACTCGGGTTCATAACATATTGATTACAAGCTCTTCAGGATTACAGGACTAGATCCTGCAGGGCCACTTTACGAATGGCCACATATGGAATCTTTAGACGAAGTTTTGGATGCATCTGATGCGGAATTTGTCGACGTTATTCACACGAATGGCGGACGTATCGGGATGATAACCCCTGCGGGACACTTGGACTATTATCCAAACGGAGGAGAACGTCAACCAGGCTGCGAACTTTGTGAGTTTTAAACGAGACAATTTACCCTGCGAAATCAAGATTGAGACAGAGCCAATTCTTTATTTGCATTGAGCATATAAAGTTTTCCAGAAATTTCGAACAAACTCTTTCCAGACAAAGCTTTCATACTGCAGCAGGTCTTAGTCAGTAATGTTCCTAGTTTAGCAGATTAGTGGATATGCGAATAAAGTCAATTAGCTGGATTATATCTAAGCGATCTCTATGAATGGGTAAAATGTGCGGCCGGAATCCCTAACGAACTCGGGGCTTCAGTTTTCCCGAGAGAACGCTCGTTTATAGTTTGGCTTTGGGAAAAATTGCTGATAGGCACTGGCTAGCTTAATAGATGATAATAATCATTTATTTTTGGAGCTCTTAATGTGATGAAGTATTTCGTCTGTTCGATTCGAGAAAAATTGCAGTTATGATCATTTGGTAAATGAACATGGGATTTTCATGTTCAGAGCTGATATAGCAGACTTTTAGATCATTTGAAAGCAAAGATGCGAAGTAGAAGCAAGCGAAACATTAGGAAAAAGTATTAGTACACAGCGAGATTTACTATTCAATTAGTACGGGTGCTCTTTATGTTTCGTTGTTTTAGTATTAAAATTGCCCATAAGTGTGATTCATAGTTTGGATAATTAAAGTATTTCAACTTGTAGTTTAATTGCCAAAACGTCGATTGGCCAAAAAAATTTATATTTTTGCATTTTCTCCAAGAACTAATTCATCTATTGATGACAACTTTTAGGGGGTTGCAGTCACCTACGTTCGGTCGAATACTGGACTGCATCAGTAAAAAATCCCTGGATATTCCAAGCGTATTTATACAGGGATTGGGTTGAATACTGGCATGGTCTTGGTGAAAATATTGTCGCATATCCTATGGGAATACTGGCAAATAAATCATTCCCTTCCGGAACATATTATGTAGAGGTACATAGTGAATTCAAAATGTATCTGAATACTGTTACTACGATTCATGATAGTTTTTCGTAAGGTTAGATGGCTGGATTTTGACATATTAAATGTGTATGAAAGTAAATCCTATTTTGAAAACCTATTTATTATTTTCCGTGTGCTTCAATTTCATCAACTTGAAATCAGTGATTGATTTGATTGTTTATTTACACAACACATTTTAACAGTTCTTTAAAGGAAGAAACGACTCAGTGGTTCGCTTCAATTACTAATCAATAGATTTCATAATTGTCCATACATCGCCAAAGTCAGCTAATTGATTGTCGCCTCTGGGTCCCTTCTTTTTAATAATGTAGTCAATGAAATGCTTGAAAAATAGTTTCGGATGGGATGACTAATAAACCGAGGCCCTACTTGTTGATTGACGTTGGCAATATTGGGGACATTTATTTTTAGAACCTAATAGCCCAAATTATTGGATATCGGCAGTTTCATTAATAAAGGAACAGTAATTCACAAGAAATTGTGTTTGTTATTTTCCCTTATTTTCCGTCCTATTTACAACATGCGTATACAGGGTGATTCAAAATTGGCGTCATTCCTCTCGAGGTGTTGTCTGGCGCTGTTATAGGAGTATACATATATACAGAAAAAATAGTAAAAGTAATTAATTGTTATTAAAAACTGAGAAATTTACAAAAAACTATATCAGAAATACGGCAGCAATGTTTTTCAAGGTAATCTGCCTAATTAACATTGCGCA